GGCCGCAGGCCGCCCCCACCGCGCAGGCGCACTGACCCGCCAAGCCGCACCTCCGCCCCGGGAGGCGCCGGAAGCGCGCGCAGCCGCCTCGGCCCTGCCCGGCCTGCTGCCCCCTGCTGGTGCTCATCCCGCCCGTGACCGGCCTAGGAGCGGTCGCCATCCCAGCTCGGGCTGGGATCGAGCTCCTTGCACCAGAGGACTCCGGCCATTGCCTTCACAACGACACCGTGACAGCCACCTCCCACCGCAGACCTGGGCTCTGCGTTCTCTGTCGGCAGCAACGCGTCCAAAGGAAAGCAGCCGAGGCCTGGCTCCCGTGGGGTCCATGGACTAAGGGGCTGCTTAGCACGGGCAGGATGGCAATACTGCCCGGGCAAGGGGAAGCCTGGGGTGTGGTGAAACGAAGCCTCCAGGCACACACCTGCTCTCAGCGGATCAGATCCAATGCACGGGGATCCTCAAACTGTTCTGAAAGAAAAAGCAACATATTCCAGTCACAACAGGCCCCAATTCATTCAAAATCCACACGCTCCCCATTCTGAGAGACTCGGCTGCCTGAACGCACACCCTCAGGCAAGGCAAGTGAGGGTTTTCTGACTAATTTACATCGCTACCAAACACTAAATATCTTTAGGTTCTTTATTTGTACCATATAGACCAGCAGTGCTCAACTTTTCTGGCTGTGCAGGCTGCCGGTACATGGGCTAGATCCAACACACACAGCCATGATTCAAGTACTGAAGGCTGAAAGCTGTTGTGTGCACTTGCATGGACCCAGGGCTCAGGAGAAAAGGCAAGTAGCAGCTAGGCTTGGTGTGCCCAGCTCTGATGGGAGTTAGAAAAGTCTGCCCAGGAGTTTTGATCTATAGAGAAGTCACTTGGACAGAATTCTCCTGCTGCAGCAGCTGTACTGACAAGGAGGGAACAGAATGGGATGAGCACAGTAAAAGCAGCAGAACAGGGCAATTCACATCATGGTCAGCCACAAAACAACACTGCCCACCACATAATCACCCTTCCAGTTCAGCTTTTGGAAAGAAAGAGCTCTGCCTTCTCAACATTAAGCACCACAAGAGATGACTTGTAAAAACAGCTAATGAGATTATGCAATTTGGGCAGGATCAGGCACTTGGATACTGCAGTGATGAGAGCTGTTATAAATTAAGAGGACAGCATTGTTCAGCGATCTCTTGTATAAAAATGCACCAAAGCGGTTGGACTCCAAAGCACAAACTCCTCTTGTTCAGACTGCTGAATTCCCCAAGAATAGAAGTAACAGCTCGTATCGATTGGGCTCTTCAGCAGATGGCCCAATATGTCAGACTTCCAGCAGCAATACTGAGGAATTCATGGAGCATAGCATCTTCACATCCACTGCTCTAGAGAGGTAAATCTAGAAGGTAGCCCTTCAATAATGTACAAGCAACAGAAAGGCAGCTCTCACCCTGACCTATGATCTAGTGGCTGGTTGAGAAGACTGGTGTTTGTGATTGTGCTGCAAAAAGATCATTGACCTGCTACCCTCATATACATCCACTATCTGGAAGAATCCAGGGACTGGCCTTGGTTTTGGAAGTGCCTTCCACCAGGAAACAAGGGAAGGGGGTATTGCTGCTCACTTGTAAAGCATGCACTTTTAGCAGATTCTATACCACACTGCTGGAAAAATGACTCCATATGGGCCAGACTGGATAGTTTGAGGGGATCCCAGAAATTGAGGGTGAGAAATATTACAGCAGCCCACAATGCAACTGTTTTCATCACCAGAGTGCATGAGGGCTCTTCTTTAGTGGGTACAGTGCAAGGTGACTGCCTCCTGCTCCATGCTCATACAGCTCTCCAGGGATATCAAGGTGAATGGAGAGCAAGCTACCAGATATTTTACTTGTTTACTTGTCAAATCCCATTTTTCCTGGGAGTTAAGAACAGTGAATTCTTCAGAACCTTTGGAGAAGGTACAGAACAGGCAAATGCTTTACCCAGGTTTTCATCCTGCAATAGAT